CCCCAAAACCCCAAAACCCCAAAACCCCTTACTCTTTTTAACACATTGAAATACTCAATTATCTCCATCTAGTTGCCATTTTCTTCTGGTTAGAGACGGATGATTTCCTTGCTGATGCTTTAGTCGTTTCTTTCGCTGGGGTTTCTTTTACAGCACTTGCTTGTCTACAAAATAGGCTATTTAAACATACCTGCTGTTAACTCTGATGGTCTTCCCTCCTGTAGAGGTAGTCTTCTTCTGTGCTACCATTGTCTGAGGAAGAGAGTCCATTATATTCGAGCTCATATTCTCCTTCACTGCTTTAAATTCAGGCACAGATTGCATCTTCTGGTTAACTTGGCTAATTGATTGGTAATGAGGCTGATAACTCCCAGGGTGACTCATCGGCTGTGGAGTCAGAGTCTCAATCAAGTCAGCATTGTTGTTCTGAGTTCTATGAATTCCCTGGAGATTACTCACAAATGTATTATTTGCAGTATTTTGAATACCAGATGGAAGTCCCAGCGTAGGCCTTGGGACTGTTGAATTCTCATTAAAGGATAGATTCATGCTCTTATAATTTGCTGATGTATTGACGTTATTAACAATCACCGGATCTTGCCTCATCACTGGGGCTGGTTTCCACATGTTATCCTTGCTCTCGATCTTTGTATTATTGATAATAATTTCATTCTCTGCTTTGTTGATCTTCACAGCAGAAGAAGCTGGGTATGGTTTCGTCTCAGAAGCAGTTTCTACTTCAGTATAAACATTTCTCTCAGGCTTGATCTCTTTCTCTGGGTGTTCAAAATCATTATGTGTTTGAGCCCTTTGAGTTGGAGTCTGATGAATTGAAGAATTATGCACTGAGGACTCTGATCCATTACCTTCAGACATCTGAATACCAAGTTTATTAAAAACATCCTCTTGCTTTAGATTACTGTCATACACTTTATAATCTGAAGAAGTGGAGTTATTAAAAGCCAGTTGTCTTGCTGGGGTTGAATCTGAGAATACACTATCAACTAAAGATTCAAACTTATGTTCCATCCCTGGCTGTTCAGAAGGATTTAGAATTGACATTGCCTCCATATTCATCGAGCACACTAAATGATCATCGAAAGAGCTTACCTCCTTTCATAAAGGCCTTCTTCAAATTCTCTTGTTGCATAATTTTAGTCTTTTCATAAGTATTAATTGTATGGGTAGCTTCTGACAATTGCTTTCTCAAAGTATCGATTTCCTTGCTGTACTGAGCACTAATAGAGCTCATATCTTGTTTTAACCTATAAATTTAGCACATACAAGTACCTTAGTTCAAAATCTTCTTTACTCTTCTGAGTTTTCCATAATTTCCATCTCTTTTGCCAGGCTTGGAAGATCCTTCTTTTATTTTTAATGTTATTTTCTCTATCTTTAGCTTCTAATACATTCTTTGAATGCTTTTTAAAGCCCACGTAATTCTTCAAGGCCTTGAATGCTTTGTACTGAGACACCCTGAGTCTCATCATCTGCCTATTATTTACCAGCCATTAGAGCTAAGATTTCACATCTGACTCTCAAATCATCATTAAGTTTGTTGCTAGATGCCAGATTCTCCTTAAGCATTTCGATCTCGTTTTGCTTGGAACTCAGAAGAGCATTGTACTTGTTTCTCTCGTTATCAATGGTGTTCATTTGTTCTTGTAGAACATTTCTCTTAATGTTCATGAAATCTTTCAAGGCATCATTCTTAAAATTGAGAATAGATGCTTCTAACTTGGTCTTAAAGGTTTCTATATCTTCATCGATAAGTTGAGGATGATGATAGCCTTCAGATTTCTGTACGTAAAGGTTTTTACTAATCTCAGAAGCTGCAACATGCTTCGAAGTGTCTAAATTAGACTCCCCAACCTCGTTCTCAGGAAACTCTCTAGTGAAAGTCTCAGCGCTGGCTCTTTGGGAGTAAGCATTCTCATCATCATAATGATCAAAAGTATCATCTCTATTCCTTTCTTTTGGAGAGGCAATCTCTGGAGTATTACCCTGATACCTCTCATGAGTAGGTTGGCTTCTTTGAGGATTAATCTGGGCGATTATATCGTCCATTTCAATGCTTTCTTGACTAATGCGCAAATTATTGTCCATTTTCCCACAATTTTAATTGTTTTAAATCAATTAATTATTCAGGAATAGGGGTTTTGGGGTTTTGGGGTTTTGGGGTTTTGGGG